AGGCAGTCTGGGTCTACCAGGGGGCACTGGGGACACTCTTGGGTGCATCAGTCAGCACCAGAGTCACTCTGGTGAACTCTCCTACCCATAGTGGCACTTCCCACTGACCCCTATTACTGGGAGTCACTGGGAGGTACCGCATCCCACCCCCTCCCCATTTCTGTTCCACTCCAAACGCTGCCCCTCCTCTCCAGCCCCCTCCAGTTCTGGGGGTTGTTGGGGACACCAGCGGGGCACACTTTGCCAGGGATGACACAGGTGACACCACACTAGCGGTGTCAGGGTACTAAAAGTGACAGTGTCACCTGCAGASGGGGTGGTTGGGGGACAATGACACTGTCCTACAGGATGTAGGGATATTACAACTTCCCCGGTGATGATGTGCCCCAGCCACTCTGCCACGGGGGTCACTTTATGGTGGGGGTCCCAAACACGGGGGTCCCTCCGTGCTGGGGGAGGGTGACAGGCAGGAATGACACTCTGTCAATGCCACAACCCAACCCSTGACACCCCAATTGCCGCCGCGGGGCCACTGCGGGCCCTTCCCCCCCATCCGTGAGTCAGCTGGAGGGGGGGAGGGAGGAACAGGAAGCACCAGAGCTGCCACATTGCCCTTATAAGGTCTCGACAGCACCGGAGCTGCTGCTTCCGCCTGCCCAGACGCCTGGTGCTGCCCCACATCTACCCGACATGACCTCCCCACATCCTCATCATTCACACCCCACATCAGTTCCCATCTCCCCATCTGAGCCATCCCAGCACCCGCCACATCTTCACCTCTGCCCCCCACCACCCCCTGAACACCTGGGGCTCTGCCTCAACACTTCCCAAAACATCTCGAGTTCCTATCCCCCAATTTCCCCCCTTGTTCCATCCTAYTGCTGGATCCCCCGGGCTGCTGGTGCTGCACCCCCCAATAAAGCCTCTGTCCCCCAAGTTTGCCTCCTGCGAGTTTGGGGGGGTCTTGGGGCAGTGCTGAGGTGTAACTCCCGCCCCGTTTTGGACTTTGTTCCCCCGGGGTGCGGCAGCGCCCTTGGACCCGGCTGTGCGGGGTGGAGGACAGAGCCGCGCCCTGTGGCACCGGCCACACATCATCTCYGTTCGGTTCTCCCYTCCCGTCAGCCCCCAAATCCCYGAAATCCCACAGGCRTTCCCCACAAGGGCACTTTATTGCTGCCGGCAGCGGGGATCGGGGCGGGTGACGGGGGTGGGGGACGGGGTCCTGCTGGTCCCTGGCGGCTCCTGCTGGTCCCTGGGAGTGCGGGGTCCCCCCCGGTCCCCTCAGTACTGGCTGCGCCGCAGGTGATTGGCCATCTCGTAGCACTTCTTGTTGACGCAGCCACCGTGGACGCCTTCCTTGCCCATGGCCAGCACAATGGCTGTGGGGGATATGGGTGTAAGGTGGAGTCAAAAAAAAACCCCATCAAAAAACCCCATCAAAAAAAACCCCATCAAAAAAAACCCCAAAACCCCCATCATCCCCCAACACACAGGGGGAGAGGAGCAAGATTAGATGAAGGGACCCTGGGAGTGAAAAAGGGGGAATCTGGAGGGACAAAGGGGAAGGGGGACATGAACAGAAAGCAGGTCAGGGTGATGCRGGTGACAGAGAACCAGGTGACGTGGCCAGGTACACCTGTGCAGGGGAGAGGACACAGGGTGACATGGGGTGACCACGTCACGGTCATGGGGCACTGGGGGGGGGGGGCACACCTTGGGGTGACACCGGGTGACACTGTGATGCCATGAGATACATGGGGGAGGTTTGGGGTCATGGCAGGTGACGAGGAGCAGTCAGGGGGTGACACAGGGGGGCTGACAACAGGGTGATGGGGTGGTTCCAGGGACAGGTTCCTCTTGTGGGTGATTTTGAAGGTGGGGGGGTCACAGGGGGAGGGGGTTCTAGAGAAGGGAGTTGGGGGTAAAGGTGACAGGGGGGTGGTTCCTCACTCTTGTTGGTGATGGCGGCCGTGATGTTGAAGGTGGGCGCTCCGGCAGCCCCTTTGGTGCGCAGGTCCATGCTGTGCTCGCCCTCCACCAGCAGCGAGTCTCGGATGACGGAGCAGCGCAGCCCCCCCAGCGTCAGCCCCTGCACCAGCAGTGGTCCCCGTTCGGGGCCCACCAGTGCCGCCACCTCCGCCGGCTGTGGGTACAAGGGTCAGGGGACACCCCAAAAAACAGATCTCAGAGCCCCCAAAACCCACTGCGACACCCTAAGGGATACTGCTGTGTGGGTATGTTATAGACCCACCGCTTTTGTGGGCTCTGAGGTCATGGGGACCTCAAAAACCCATCCAAACCCATCCAAGGACCACCAAAACCAAACACGGATGCCAAAACCCCCGGCAGGGCCCCTGGAAGGCACTTGGCAAACGGGCATTGTCGTAACTCCCACTCCATGACCATAAAAGGGACCTCGGTGTCCCGGGACCCCCAGGACTCCCGCCAGGGACCCCAAAAAACGGCCAAAGATCGCCAAAAGAACCCCGTAAGAAACCCCCTTGGGCTCCCCCAAACTCTGCACCCTCCAGGGCCGATAATTCCAGCAGCTGCCACAGGGGAGAACAGGTCACGAACCCCAAAAACACCCCCAGGAACCCCACAAGAGACCCCTCAAACAAACCCCGTTGGGACCCCCCTGATTTAATCGTGAGGATCTCAAATCCCAGGATCCCAATGACATCCGCCATAGTCCCGCGGGTGGCCCAGACACTCGGGGACCCCCGTGACCCCCAACCTATGACCCGTGACTGTCGGGGGACCCCCTGAACTTCCCCGTGACCCCAAAAGGGAACCAGGGGGGGTCGGGTAAGCCCCACTTTTCCCACCACGAGCCTCCCCAAACTTCTCCCCTCCCCCCATTTCCGTGGAGGGAAGTGGGTAGGGGGGAGGGGGGGGTGCGCGCGCGCTGTCCCTCCCCCACAGGAAGCCTCGGCCGCCCCTCCTCCACCGGGAAGTGGCCGCATTCCGTGCATTTTTCGGAGGGTTTTTAAATAGGGAGGGGTTCTCCAGCACCCCCCACCCCCACCGCGAGACCCCCCCATCCACTTTAGGGGATCGCGATAAAACAGATGGGAAGCGGGGAAGGGAAGTCGTCGAACCACGTGGTGCGCGCCCATCCCCCCCTTCCCCCGAGCTGCCCGCGACCCCACAAAACGCTCCAAGCGGGGGTTAAGGAGGGGATTCCCTCTCCGCTGATCCCCTCCCGTTCCCCGCACCGCCGATCCCCCCCCCGGTTCCGGTTCCCCGGGTACGGCCAGCGCCCTTCTCCCCCCGCTGCCCTCCCCCCCGCCTCCTCCCGCGCTCCACGCTGGCGCTTTCGCGTTTTTCTCCCTTTTTTGTCCTTCCCGGAGCCCGTCGCGGGAATGGAGGGGGGGTCAGCCCCGCCCCTCGGAGGCCACCGGGTTCCCCCCGCCCTCCGCGCGCTTGGGCGGGAAACGCCTCAGCGTGCCGCCCCCCCCCCATCCCCGCCGCTCCCGGGCTCTCACCGTGATATTGGCGAAGGTCTTGCCGGGGGCGGCGGCCCAGACGGCGGGGGTGTCGCGATAGCCCACGATAGCGGCATCCTGGCAGGTGCCGTCCGCCAGCAGCGTCTCCACGTAGGGCGCCCACCCGCTCATGGCGGCGGCGGG